GTCTGGAGAGCACACGCGCCCTACAGTGAAAATCCCTCCAAAAAAAAAAAAAAAAAGATTTTCATAGTTTTCTTTGTAAAGGTCTTTGACTTCCTTACTTAGGTTTATCCCTAGGTATCTTATGCATTTTGTGGCTGTGGTAAAAGGGATTCCTTTCTTCAGTTCTGCCTCAACCAACTTGTTGTTAGTATATAGAAATGCTGTAGATTTTTGGATGTTTATTTTTGTATCCTGACATTTTATTCATTTATTACTTTGAGAAGTTTTTTCATAGAAAATTTGGGTCTTCTAAGTATACTGTCATGTCATCTGCAAATAAAGATATTTTCAACTCTTCTTTGCATATTTCAATGCCTTTTATATTAGTGTCTTTTCTGATTGCATTGGCAATCAGCACTGTATTGAAAAGGAGTGGAGAAAATGGGCAGCCTTGTCTAGTACCAGTTTTTAATGGAGAAGCTTTTAGCTTTTCCCCACTTGGTATAATGTTAACTATAGGCTTTTCATATATGGCTTTTATTGTGTTGAGAAATGACTTTTCTATAGCAATCTTCCTAGGAGTCTTAATCATGAAGGGATGTTATATTTTATCAAATGCTTTCTCTCATCAATTGAAATGATCATATGGTTTTTATCTTTCTTTCTGGTAATATGATGTATTGTGTTTATGGTATTGTATATGTTGAACCACCCTTGCATCTCTGGAATAATGCCTACCTGATTGTGATGAATAATCTTTCTCATATGTTGTTGGATACGATTTGCAAGTATCTTGTTGAGAATTTTTTGTCTATGATAATCAGAGATATTGGTCAGTAGTTTCCTTATTTGTCATAGCTTTATCTGTTTTGGGAATGAGGATGATAGAGGCTTTATAAAATGAACTTGAGGTTTTCTTTCTTTTGGATCTTTAGAAATAATTTGAGTAAGAGGTTAACTCTTCTTTAAAAGTTTTGTATTCAGAAGTGAAGCCGTCAGGTCCTGAGGTTTTTTTTTTCTTTGTCGGGAGGTTATTTATTACCTATTCAATCTCATGGCTTGTATGGATCTATTCAGGTTTTCTATGTCCTCCTGATTCAATCTGGGTAAATTATATGCATCTAGGAATTTGTCCATCTCCTCCATGTTCTCTTGTTTGTTGGCATATAGTCGCTCATAGTATCCTCCAATGACATTTTGCATTTCTACTGTGTCTGTTGTAATATTGCCTGTTTCATTACATATTTTATTTATCTGGTTTCTTTCTTTATTCTTCTTTATCAGGTCAGCTAATGGTGTATCGGTCTTGTTCATCTTTTGAAAGAATCAACTTTTGCTTTTGTTTATTTTCTATTTTGTTTATTTCTGCTCAAATCTTTATTATTTGTTTTCTAAATCTTCTATACTATTAGAGTAACACTGACCTTGTGCTGGTGGGAAGGAAGGGGGTGACACTTTGTTACTGCCAGGTGAAGGGAAGAGTCCAGGTCCCTCATGTGTTCTCCACTGACAGCACCCCAACAGAGGGGCTGGGATGCCTCACTATGGCCTGATGTGGGTGAAAGTCTAGGCTTTCTACTCAACCTTTGCAGGTAGGGGTGGGTCTTCAGTTTTTCCTTTGGTGTTTGACTTGAGTAGAGTGCTTATTTTCTAAAAATGTTTGGTTTTCCTGGGCTTCCTTTTTTATGGTCTTTTGGCTAGAGAGACAACAGAACGTAGCAACCCAGACGTTCAGGGTTGCTAACTGTATTTAACAGGAGGAACAGGGAAAAATATACCTAGTCCATCTTGTTTTGGAAGATGAAAATTCCCTTGCATTTTGAGTCTAGAACGTCACAAAGATTTTCCTGAGGGCTCTGTGACCTGGGATATTAGCAGATACACCGTATTTTCTACAGAACTCTGCTCCTAATCTGCAAGTGTACTAAAAGCTAACCATTGTGGTTTGCTGCCCTTCAGTTCACTGGCATAAGTACTAGCAGTGTAATTTCTGCTGGGATAACAGCTTGGGAACAGTATATTTCTTTCTGACTATTTCCTTCACTTTCATGTGTTTTCCTATGACAGGAGAAATACATATGGGAGGTCAAGAACACTTTTATATGGAAACTCAAAGCATGCTTGTTGTTCCCAAAGGAGAAGATCAAGAAATGGATGTCTATGTGTCCACACAGTTTCCTAAATACATACAGGTAACATGGAGCCCTTGTGGAGGGAATGTGGATAAATCGTATCTGCTAGTAAAACATGTCAAGAACAGTTAGAGACAAAATTTCATTTTCTTAGAGACCATAAAAATACTGGGAATTAGTAGCTATATTGATTTGTGTATTAGTAGTCGTATGATTGCAAAGCTTTTAGAAGAGTATTAATAAAGTAGGGGCTTTTGTTTGTGGATCTTTAACTTTAGAAACAATTATGTGATTAGCAGTTCCCTTTAACACAAAGGAAAAAGCAGGTAGCTTGGCCTCTGAAGCTAATAGTACCTAACTCACAGGAAACAGTTAAAAACCATTTTGGAAAGGATGCATCCAGGTAAGTCAAAATATACATGGGTGGAGAAATTCAGAGAAGGGGAAGTTTGCTAAGAACTAGAATCACCCAGGAAGTCCCATGAAAAAGTCTAGCTTATAGTGAAAGTAAAGTTTGTCTAGATGGTAGGAGAAGAGAGGCCATTTCCAGATATTTCCACAGCAAGGTCAAATGCCACTCTTTCATTCATTCACTCATTCTTTCTACAGTCATTTGTTGCCTGTGTCCTGTATCCTAGGTAACATGCATGTAAACAAGGGAGAATGGTGTAATGCCTGCCTGTGCTGGGATGGAGGGTATATTGAGGGAGGTGATGGTTAAGCATCACAATGAAAGTAAAGCATCAGGGTAAAATAGGAAGCTTCCCAGAACAAAGCAGTGATGTCATTTCTTCCCCTTATTGATAGAGCATGTGCACATGCCCATGAGAGAGAGGAGAAAAAAGAGAAAAAGGAGCACTCTCCATAGGGTCTGGTCATTCTACAATCCCCTTTCTCCAGTCCTCCAGCTCATTTGATCTTGAACACTTCTGTGCATGCTTGGCCCATTGCAGGCTGACTGGGCAAGGGTTCAGAACTGCGGTTGCCTCATGGGATTCATCTTCCCTTGAGCAGTGCATCGTTGCTCTGCCATGGAGCTCTGACATCTTGATTCAGTACATCCTAAGGAGCCAGTACTTCTGTGGGAATGTGAGGGTGTGAAGACTGAGGTCGTCAGAAGGTGGAGCACTGTGAAGGGTCAGATGAGCTCCATCGCAATCCTACTCTGTTCTCTACTCCATGTGAGGTGTTGGGCCCACCTCTTCATCTGCCTTTGGCTTCTCATCTATACAAAATAGTCATTAAAACTAAATGACATCTAGATATTAGGATGGCAAAAAAAAAAAAAAAAAGCAAGACTCACATTTAGGGAGGACCAACTGGTCAGTTTTAGCAGTTATCCAAGTGGGAGATGGGAAGTCTGTTCTCCAGTGGAGACTGTAGAATGAAGGGAAAAGGCCTGAGGTAAGAAAGGCTTAGATGGCCATGAAATCTCACTGCTTCGGGAAACATCTGCCTAGAGATGAGTGTGAAAAGGAAACTGTGTGTGTGTTTCACAGGAAAAATACAAAAAATACAAAAAATTATAAGCACAAAAATATCTCACTCGTATGGGAGGACTGCTTAATAACAGTTTTGGTGATGTCACTACAGATCAATATAGCAGAGGTCAGTTCGGAATACATGATCCCATTATGTAGCATAACCACACAGTTTGTGTGTCATGTACATTATGGAATCAAATGTGTATTGACTTTCACATTCTATTTCAGGGGACAGTTTCTATTTGTTAAGGTCCTCAGTGGGACAGTGATAGTCACCATGAAATCCTTGTTGAAGATGGGTCGGGTTACTAAGAACTGTTTTCATCTGCAGGACATAGTTGCCTCAACCTTAAAGCTCCCAGCTAACAAGGTCATGTGTCACGTGAGGCGTGTCGGTGGTGCGTTTGGGGGTAAGGTGATCAAAACCGGCATCATGGCCGCCGTCACTGCGTTTGCTGCTAACAAGTAAGTGGAGAAATCCTGCTAAATCCACAAAAATGAAATAAAGTCACACTGAAAATTCTGAACATCAGGATAAATGAGGAAGAATCTAGGTGAAAATTATTTCAAATGACACATGAGGCCAGCAGGTGGCATAGTGGTTATGTTGCTGAACTCTCACATGGTGAACCGCAGTTTGAGTTCTGGACCGGGTGGCTTGAAACTCACACCAGGTGTGTGTCCGTGTGTGCCCAAGATCCTGAGCGGAGGATGGAGGAGAAGAGATTAGGGTGTGGCCATCACCCTGAGGGGGTGATTTCTTGCTTTCTCTTTCTCTGTCTCTCTGGCAAGTGCATGTACCCTATAGCAAAAATCTCTCAATAAAATAAAATAAAACAAAATGACATAATATAGAACCATACAAACAAGCTGCCAGTTTGATTACAACCTCTTATATTGTCAAGCTATATACACAAAGACCAACAGGAAGAATCAGTTAGTGGGCCAGCAGTGGTGTAGTGGTGAAGTCACCTGGATCCCATATGGTAATGGCACTGTTTGAGTCCCAGATCCAGAAGCATCAGAAACATACTAGGCAAGTGTGCATGCATGTGTAAAATGCAAAAAGGAAGGAGAGGAGAAGGATTGCGGTATGATTGTTCCCCATAGTGGGATGCTTTCTCACTTTCCTACTCTCTTTCTGTCTCTCTCTGGAAGCACATATGTCCTCTGAAAAAATAAATTAATAAAATAAAAAAGAATTGGGAACCAGCAGTTAGCATAATGGCTATGTTGCTGGACTCCCACGTAGTCAACCGTGGTTCACGTCCCGGACCCGATGGCTTAAAACTCATGCCAGGCGTGTGTGCGTGCGTGCCCAAGATCCCGAGAGGAGAATGGAGGAGAAGGGATTGCAGCATGACCATCGCCCCTGGGGGGTGATTTCTCACTTTCTGTCTCTATGTCTCTGTCTGTCTGGCAAGCGCACACGCCCTATAGCGAAAACCTCTCAAAAAATAAAAATAAAAATAAAATAAAAAAGAATCAAGTACTAAAGAATGAAAGTCATGCTAAAAAAAATGTAAATCTGGGACCAGCAGTTAGCATAATGGCTATGTCGCTGGACTCCCATGTAGTCGACTGCAGTTCGAGTCCTGGAACTTAAACTCACACCGGGTATGTGTGCGTGCATGCCCAAGATCCTGAGAGGAGAAGGGCGTGATTTCTTGCTTTCTGTCTTTCTCTGTCTTTTTGGTGAGTGCACCTGCCCTGCCGTGGTCCAGCCTCGGCGTGGGTGGGTTATCTCGACGAAGGCGG